CTATTCTACTCTACTCTACTCTCTATTCTATTCTATTCCTCTATTCTATTCTACTCTACTTTCTATTCTATTCTATTCTATTCTATTCTATTCTATCTTCCTCCCCTCCCCTCCCCTCCCCTCTATTCTATTTTAATCTTGTTCTTTGTTCTGTTATCTTTTGTTCTTTTAACAGTGGTTTTTATACTCCAGTATATTTTTACAGATAGTCCTCGACTTACAATTGAGCCTCCAATTCCTTATTGTTAGGTGAGACACTTGTGAAGTGAGTTTTGCCCCCATTTTACGACCTTTCTTGCCGCAGTTGTTCAATGTTATCCCAGCCGTTGTTAAGCTAGTAACATTGATTGTCTGCTGGCTTCCCCACTGACTGTGTTTCAATTCATCCTCCCCCATGAATTCCCCTGTAAAAGTCAAACCACATCGTGTAGGAATGAGCTCCAGAGGTTGTGAGAAGTTAAAAGTCCCCTCTATACGGTTTCCTGCTTGGGCAGGGGGAGGTTGGAATAGAAGACCTCCAAAGTTCCCAACTATGTTATGCTGTAAATGAGCCCTTTCCCATCCACCAGAGGCCTTCAAGGAGCCCCCACACACAAGAAATTGAGATGTCCCCTACAAGTTGGGACTTGGAAGCATCTGCTCCCAACCTGGAGATAGCCCCAAGTCTTCAAGGCTGAGTAGAACTATCCTCCGTGACCCTCTCTTTAAAGCCATTCCAGATAGTGACCGCCACATCTTACAAGAAGAACTCCACAGACTGTGAGAAGCTAAAATGAGCCCTTGTCCATCAACCCAAGGACCATCCTAGGCCCGATGCCTCCAAGGAGCTCCCAAGATGGAGGTATCTGACGGAGATGTTTCATCAACGCCCTGTTTCCTCAACCCAACGGCCATCCTAGGCCCGATGCCTCCAAGGAGCTCCCAAGATGGAGGTATCTGACGGAGATGTTTCATCAACACCCTGTTTCCTCAACCCAAGGACCATCCTAGGCCCGATGCCTCCAAGGAGCTTCCAATGAGAAGATGGGGTTGTTCTCCTGCAAGTGGGCCTTGGAGGTTATCTGCTCCCAATCTGAAAGCAATCCCGAGTCTTCACAACGGACAGGGTAGACCTGCCCTCCATGAAATGTCCTTTTAAAGCTGCTCCGGATAGTGACCGTCAGGTCTTGGGGAATTACCCAAATGAAAGAGGTCGCTTCCTGGGCATTTTCACCAGGATGGCTTTTCTTAGTACCTTAAGGCACTTGATGGGTTTAAATGAAAGGTTTTTTTTTTAAAGACAAACTTTTTTGGGGTTGGGGGTTGCTCTCATTTTGTCTTGCTTGTTCCAATCTCTACCAATAGTTCTCCCCCTCATAAGATGCCTGAGGGAATCTTCTCACAAAAAGGGGATAAAGGAGATTATCTTGGGGCTTCAAAAGGATTTTTTTCTTTTTTTGAGGATGATGCCAGAGGCCATTTTCTTGGCTTGGAACAAAAGGTTGAGCCTTCCTACTTTTCTGTCTGACTAAATTCTGACTAAATTTTGGCGAGAAGAGCTCCCGTAAAAGTGAAATAAATAAAAATATTAGCCCGGGAGGGACTTGTCTTGGACCAGCAAAAGCTACATTGGCAGCAGAAGTCAAGGAATCTCCACAAGGCTTTTTTGAGGTTGAACAAAAAGTGCCCTGTGCGGCCTCAGGATTCCCATCCTTTTTCTCAGTTTGCTTTTAATGGCATTTTGACGGCAAAGGAAACGTTGCGAAATTAAGAATTAAAAAGCCCTCTCCGGGGCGACGGAGGGGATTTTAAGGTGGATTTTTGAGGCTCTGGTATCCACGACAAAGCAAACCTGGCACCTCAGTGCTTTTTTTCCTCGCCTCAGCATTTTTTTTTTCCTGAGGTAAAAAAGAAAAAAAAGCGTGAGGCGGACAAGAAGCGGGGCTTTTTGCGTCCTATTTGTGCTACAAGGACATATATTTGTGCTTTAAAGCTCAATATTACCTCAGTATTTTTTTAAAAAAAAAGTTAATTTTTTTTTTGCGCCTCTAAAGTGAGTTAAAAAAACAAAACAAAACCAGCGAACGAGAAGCAAGCGGGCACGCGCGCGCCCACTCTTGGCCTCTAACGCGCAGGCGCGCGCCCACTCTTGGCCTCTAACGCGCAGGCGCGCGCCCCTCCCTCCGCACATCCGGGTCTCTCCGCTGCCTCGAAGGGGGCGTGTCTATCTCTCGCGCGCGCTTCTCTAGTACTGAGTCATGGAATGTCCGGGACCCGCTTGTCGCGCCTCAAGCTCGCGCGCTGCGCACGCGCACAAGAGGCCGGGTTGAGCGGCTGGGATCGAAACGCTTGTTCGCCGCCATCCGCGGGGGCAAATTGCGGGTTTTGGCGCCGTGGCTCGGGAAAATCCCGCCCTTTTGCACCCTCTTTCCAGGACGGAAAGGCGATTGGCCGCCTGCTCTTTTGCAGGCACTCGCTTACGGAACCAGCTGCACAGGCTTTCGTGGAGGGCGAAGAGGGTTCTGCGCCTAACTGGGCTTGCAAAAAAAAATAAAAATCCAGAACAACACAGGGCAGTTAGGAGGTGTGTGTTATGTGTGTGGTGGTGGGGTTTGGGCATTTAGCTTGGATTGATCCGCTACCGTTGCAAAAAGAGGGTGAGTTTGCACCAAGCTGCACAGCTTTGGTGGAGGGCGAAGAGGTTCTGCGCCTAACTGGGCTTGCAAAAAAAATAATCCAGGGCAGTTAGGAGGTGTGTATATGTGTGTGTGTGTGTGTGGTGGTGGTGGTGGTGGTGGGGTTTTGGGGCGTTTAGCTTGGATTGATCCACTACCGTTTGCAAAAAAGAGGATGAGTTTGCACCAAGCAAGCCAGCTCATCTCGAAATTCTGGCTTGCAGGGAAAAAAACTCACAACGTGCGGAAGCGTTGTGGTTGCGTATCTATCTGGAGGCGAGCAAAAGAGGGTGCAAGTCACGCTAAAACAGACTGGGAAGTAAAGCGAGAGAGAGGATGGCGTGGGCGTTTTCGATTACAACTCCCCCCCCCCCAATCTTCCGCAGGCCGGCCAAATATGCAAAGGCTGGGGATAATGGGGCTTGCAGTCCAATACGTTGCACCCGACCCATGCAAAGGCTCAAAATCCTAAATCTATCGAGGAGGGGGGCAGATTTATTGCCCGCACGCTCTTCATAGCAATAGACCTTGCTTATATACCGCTTGACTGGGCCTTTTATAGCCCCCTCTAAGCGGTTTATAGAGTCGGCACACACCCCCACCCCCCAAAAAAAGAAAAAAAAACAATCTGGGTCCCTAAACTTGCTTTCCTAAGGCAGGAGGGGAGTGGCGGGGTCGCCTTTTGCGCATGCGCAGAGTGACGGGGGTCGCCTTCCGCGCATGCGCAGCCTGGACGCTCGGAAACTACAAGTACCGGGAGGCTTTGCAAAAGCCCGAAGCGGGGTGGGGGTCACGTGACCCTCCACAACTTGCCCATATTGGGAGCCCTTGGCTGCTTGCCGCTGCTGCTGTCGTTTGTTTACATGCGAGGCGGGATTTGCTCCTTTGAACGAGGCAAACATCCGTCCCTGCAGCCAACGAGGAAAAGTTTCCGCTTTGGAGACTGAAATGAACGCCCGCCAAGAGGACTAGAAGCCTTAAGAGAGACTTTTTCAAGTGGCCCTGCTGTCACCTTTTACATTCTACAATTGAGGAATATGATTTCCATCCTTAAAAAAAATAAATAAAAGTAAACATTCCCCTAGGAGGAAGGTAAGCTTTAGTAATACTGTCACGGGCCACGTGACAAGCCCCGCCCTCCGCAAACAAGGACCTTCGCCCACACTTTTGGAGAAAACGATCTCGGCCCGCTGATTGGTTCAAGACACGGTACACCACTTCCCCTATTGGTCGAAAAGGGGGAAAAGGAGGCGGGAGCAAGAAGGGGGGGGGAAAGGAGGCGGCTTCTGGAACGCCCCGTAGAGCAGATTCCCGTTGGCTGGCGTGTGGGGGAGCCGTCGCGAGCTCCGATTGGCCAAAGCCACGCCAGAGGGGCGCGTCTCCTTTCGGTCCCGCCCTCCGCGTATATAAATCCCCGTCGCAGGGGGAGCGGGCCATCGCGGGAAAGCGGTAGGCGCGGAGCGCTCTTGCTCGGGCGGGCGTCGGGTTGCGCGCGCGCATGCGTGGCGGTGGGGGGAAAAAGGAGAGAGAGAGAGAGAAAAAAAAAAGAGACGTCTCGACGCATGCGCGGCGGGCTCTGAGGCGAGCGGCCAGGGAGCACCGCGGCTGCGCCGCGCGGGGGCTGCCGGGACAGCGGCGGCTCGCGCGCGCGTCCGCACGGCGCAGGCGTAGAAGCACCGCCGTCGAGGGGCGGAGAAGGAGGGAAGGAAGCGGCCGTCTGAGGCGGCCGCCGCCGCCGTGAGGAACCGAGAACGGCGGCGGTTGGGCCGGCCAGGCATGATCAAAATGGCCACGGACAAGGAGACCTTCCTCGTCCCGGCGCCTCCTCCCCCGTTGCTGAAGGCCCGGCCCGAAAACGAGACGCCTGAGGGGCCGTTATTACCTCAGCCGTCGCCTCACGAAGACCCTCAACGCCGCCAAGAGCAGCTCCAACGGGCCCGTAACGGTTTCCAAGCCGGGCCTCGGGCCTCAGGAGGCGGTGGCGGCGGTGGGGGCAAACGTCGTAACAGCTGCCACGTCGGGCCTTTCAAAGCTCCGGCCTTCAAGCGCCGCCGCCGGGTCAACTCGGAGTGCGACCCGGTCCTCCCGTCGGAGTTTCTGCTGGGCGGCAACATCTTCGACCCTCTGAACCTCAACAGCTTGCTGGACGAGGAGGTCAACCGGGCCCTCAACGCCGAGACCCCCAAATCTTCCCCCTTGCCGGCCAAAAGCCGGGACCCCGTGGAGATCCTCATCCCCAAGGACATCACCGACCCTCTCAGCCTCAACGCAGCCCAGGAAGACACCCCGGTGTTGGCTTCGCCTCTCAAAGCCGGGCGGAAGAGGCACCGGCACCGGGGCAACAACCAGCGGGCTTTGGGGGGCTCGGAAGTGGGGGGTTCCTCCTCTTCCTCTTCCTCCTCCTCTGCCCCTCCCAACACCACCACCACCACCTCTTCCTCCTCCTGCAGATCCTGCCAAAAGGCCGCCTGCAACGGGGCCACCCCTCAGCCCTACGAACTCAACACCGCCATCAATTGCCGGGACGAGGTGATCTCCCCCCTGCTTCCCCTGGAAGCGGGAGGAGGTGGAGGAGAGAGGGGAGACGGGGCAGAGCCTCCCCTGGCCCAGCCGGCTTCCAGGAGCACCGCCCTGCCTTCTTCATCCTCCTCTTCCTCTTCCCATCATCACCATCACCACCACCACCATCATCGCAAAAGGCGCCGGACTTGTAGCAAATCGGAGGCGGCGGCGGCAGCGGCGGGCGGGCGGGGAGGCAGCCCCCCGCAAGCTGCCTCCCTTCCTCCTCCTCTTCCTCCTCCTCTTCCTCCTCCTCCTCAGCGGGCCTCCCGCCACAAGTTCCAGTACGGCAACTACTGCAAGTACTACGGTTACCGGAACCCGGATTGCGAGGACATCCGGCTGCGGTCCTTGAAACCCGAGTGGTTCCGAGGCCGGGAGGTCTTGGATGTGGGTTGCAACGTGGGCCACCTCAGCTTGAGCGTGGCTAAAAAATGGGAGCCCGCCCGGCTGGTGGGCTTGGATATCGACGGGGCTTTGATTCACTCGGCCCGCCAGAACATCCGGCATTACCTCTCGGAGGAGGAGCAGCGGCGGTGGCGACGGCAGCAGCAGCCGCCGCCCCAGGACAGTCAGGGCGACGGGGAAGGGGTCAAGAAGAGCTTCCCGGCTTCGCTGACGGCCAGCCGGGGTCCGATTGCTGCCCCCAGGGTGCCCCAGGACGGGGTGGACGCCACGCTCTTCCCCAACAATGTCATCTTTGTCCAGGTGAGAGAGCCTGCCCCACCTTTGGGGCCAGGTGGGGTTCACTCTTTGGGCTTCCACCCCCACCAATCCTGCAGACCTGGCTCTCTAGACCAGGGGTGGGCAAACTTTTTTTTGGGGGGGGGGCCCTCATTGACTTTTCAAATTTGACAGACGGGCCGCCACCTGGTGTCGAAATGCCTGTCGTTACAGGTCAAAATCAAATGAATGCAACCATTCAAATCATTCACATCAAACCTTAATTCTGTACCGATCTTCGGCGGGCCGGATTCAAAAGACCCAACGGGCCGGATGTGGCCCCCGGGCCGTAGTTTGCCTACCCCTGATCTAGACCAACCCCCCCTGCTTGGAATAACGGGGGTTGGATGGGGCCTTGGAGGTCATCTAGTCCAACCCCCCCTGCTCGGAATAACGGGTTGGACGGGGCCTTGGAGGTCATCTAGTCCAACCCCCCCTGCTCGGAATAACGGGTTGGCAGGGGCCTTGGAGGTCATCTAGTCCAACCCCCCCTGCTCGGAATAACAGGGGTTGGACGGGGCCTTGGAGGTCATCTAGTCCAACCCCCCCCTGCTCGGAATAACAGGGGTTGGCAGGGGCCTTGGAGGTCATCTAGTCCAACCCCCCCTGCTCGGAATAACGGGTTGGACGGGGCCTTGGAGGTCATCTAGTCCAACCCCGCACTTGCTCGGAATAACGGGTTGGAAGGGACCTTGGCTGGCCCAGGTGGGCTAGAGCTGGGCTTTTCTGTGTGTGTGTGTGTGTGTGTGTGTGTGTGTGTGTGTGTGTGTGTGTGTGGTGGTCTCTTGTCTTGACTTGCCACAAGGAACTCTTCCAGATCTTTCTTCACGCCTTACATGATACATCCGTAAGGCATTTGACAGAGTAGACCACAACCTACTTCTTGGGAAGCTAGCAAAAAGGTGGGATAGATATAGCACCACCCCTAGATGGACTGGCAACCGGCTGGCAAACCGTACTCAAGGAGTAGTCCTGAAAGGGTCTAAGTCTACATGGAAGAAAGGAAAGAAGCAAGGAAGGAAGGAGGGAGGAAAGAGAGAGAAAGAAGGAAGGGAAGGGAGGAAAGAAGCAAGGAAGGAAGGAGGAAGGAGAGAGAGAGAGAAAGAAGGAAGGGAGGAAGGGAAGGAAGAAAGAAAAAGAAAGAAAAAAGAAAGAATAATTGTCCTAGATAAGAGTCCGCTCTTTCAAGGTTGTGAATGAATGAATGAATTCTTTATTGGCCAAGTGTGTTTAAAGGAAAGAAGGAAGGAGGGAAAGGGACGGGATGGAGAAAAGGAAGGAAGGAAGGAAGCAAGGAGGGAGGGAGGAAGGAAAAAGAGAGAGAGAAAGAAAAAGAAAGGAGGAAAGAAGGAATGGAGAATGAATGAATGAATGAATTATTTATTGGCCAAGTGTGTTTAAAGGAAAGAAGGAAGGAGGGAAAGGGAAGGGATGGAGAAAAG